ATCGTACTACACTGGCTCTGACGCTCGTCGGATGTGGCAGGGCTTGAAAACTATTACAGACTACAAAGGGAAGCACAGCCGCGAGCTGCCCAGTGACACAAGCCTACCAGACGAGCTAAACCACTTCTATGCTCGCTTCGAGGCAAGCAACACTGAAGCATGCATGAGAGCACCAGCTGTTCCGGATGACTATGTGATCACGCTCTCCGTAGCCGATGTGAGTAAGACTTTTAAGCAGGTCAACATTCACAAGGCCGCAGGGCCAGACGGATTACCAGGACGTGTACTCCGAGCATGTGCTGACCAACTGGCAAGTGTCTTCACTGACATTTTCAACATGTCCCTGACTGAGTCTGTAATACCAACATGTTTCAAGCAGACCACCATAGTCCCCGTGCCCAAGGACTCTAAGATAACCTGCCTAAATGACTACCGACCCGTAGCACTGACGTCTGTAGCCATGAAGTGCTTTGAAAGGCTGGTAATGGCTCACATCAACAGCATTATCGCAGAAACCCTAGACCCACTCCAATTTGCATACCGCCCCAACAGATCCACAGATGATGCAATCTCTATTGCACTCCACACTGCCCTTTCCCACCTGGACAAGAGAAACACCTACGTGAGAATGCTATTCATTGACTACAGCTCAGCATTCAACACCATAGTGCCCTCTAAGCTCATCACTAAGCTAAGGATCCTGGGACTAAACACCTCCCTCTGCAACTGGATCCTGGACTTCCTGACGGGCCGCCCCCAGGTGGTAAGGGTAGGTAACAACACATCTGCCACACTGATCCTCAACACGGGGGCCCCTCAGGGGTGCGTGCTCAGTCCCCTCCTGTACTCTCTGTTCACCCATGACTGCATGGCCAGGCACGACTCCAACACCATCATTAGGTTTGCCGACGACACAACAGTGGTAGGCCTGATCACCGACAACGATGAGACAGCCTATAGGGAGGAGGTCAGAGACCTGGCCGTGTGGTGCCAGGACAACAACCTCTCCCTCAACGTGACCAAAACAAAGGAGATGATTGTGGACTACAGGAAAAAAAAGAGGACTGAGCACGCCCCCATTCTCATCGACGGGGCTGTAGTGGAACAGGTTGAGAGCTTCAAGTTCCTTGGTGTCCACATCACCAATGAACTATCATGGTCCAAACACACCAAGACAGTCGTGAAGAGGGCACGACAAAGCCTATTCCCCTCAGGAGACTGAAAAGATTTGGCATGGGTCCTCAGATCCTCAAAAAATTCTACAGCTGCACCATCGAGAGCATCCTGACTGGTTGCATCACCGCCTGGTATGGCAACTGCTTGGCCTCCGACCGCAAGGCACTACAGAGGGTAGTGCGTACGGCCCAGTACATCACTGGGGCCAAGCTTCCTGCCATCCAGGACCTCTATACCAGGTGGTGTCAGAGGAAGGCCCTCAAAATTGTCAAAGACTCCAGCCACCCTAGTCATAGACTGTTCTCCCTGCTACCGCACGGCAAGCGGTACCGGAGTGCCAAGTCTAGGTCCAAAAGACTTCTCAACAGCTTCTACCCCCAAGCCATTAGACTCCTGAACAGCTAATCATGACTACCCGGACTATTTGCACTGCCCCCCCCCCCACCCCATCCTTTTTACGCTGCTGCTACTCTGTTAATTATTTATGCATAGTCACTTTAACTCTACCCACATGTACATATTACTTCAACTATCTCAACTAGCCGGTGCCCCCGCACAGGTACCCCCCTGTGTATATATAGCCTCCCTACTGTTATTTTATTTTACTTCTGCTCTTTTTTTCTCAACACTTTTTTTGTTGTTATTTTTTTTTTTTTAAAATAAATGCACTGTTGGTTAAGGGCTGTAAGTAAGCATTTCACTGTAATGTCTGCACCTGTTGTATTCGGCGCATGTGACCAATAAAATCTGATTTGATTTGATTTGATTCAACCAAAAATAATGTTAAGCATTTTCATACATTTCTGCATTTCCTGCACTTTTGTTATCATTTCCACACCGTGCCATGCAAGGTTGCATGATATAGGCAAAATATATAGGCCTAGTTAATTGGTGAACTGTTGGAATCATGGAAATAGAATGATTATAGTTGGAATATAGTGGGCAGCACCTTGGATACATTGTTGTTTGACATGACAACGAATGAATAAGCCTGCCAGGGAGGAATTATTGACAGGGTAGGAACCACAGTGTTGGTCAGTGCTTCCAGGGGACCCAAATTAGATGTTAGATTACACATTTTCTTACAAGAAACACTGTTTTCACACCACTTCGATACAGCTACGACCAGAAGTGACTTTTTCGCAGCAGGTTAGGATAATTAATGCAGCAGGTTAGGAGACTAAGGTTAAGGTTAGGGAAAGGGTTAGGGTTAGTGAAATTGCCCTCCTAACCTGCAAAGAAAATCACATCCTACACCAGCACTGGTACCAAGTGATGGGGAAACAAAGCTAATTCCAGCCAATTGCTTGAGGCTTTGATCAACACAGTCTACACTAGTGGCACCTGCTGGTTAAAAGAATTTAGAGCAGCCAAATGATTATAGATGATGTGCAACGTAGCCTTTTTGTCTTTTACCAAACCAACCAGGTGGTTATTCAACAAAACAAAGTTTCGGATGTCATTAATCACCTGCTTCTGATAAAGTGATACAGGCATCCACACAGTGCTTCCAAGTGCACTACTTAGCAATTTCAACGCATGCCTTGGAGCTCCGGCATCAAACGTAACATTACTACTGGTGCCGGGCTGTATAGCGTTTGCTCTGACTCTTAGTAAATTTAGCAAGCTAGCTAACGTTAGCAATTAGCATTAGTGGTTAACACTATTTATTTTAGCCACAGCTTGCTAAGAAAATAAACTAGCAGACAGGTGTTTGCAGACAGTAAGATACACAAACTAATAGTGTAATTATAGAATGCTTGTGAAAAGCAGCATAGTTTTCAACAATATATTGCTGCTTCTACAGTGGCTTGCCTTACAACCTGTAATTAAAATGGATTTTTTGGGTGTTTGTATCATTTGATTTACACAACATGCCTACCACTTTGAAGATGCAAAATATTTTTTTTTGTGAAACAAACAAGAAATAAGACAAAAAAACAGAAAACATGAGCATGCATAACTATTCAACCCAACAAAGTCAATACTTTGTAGAGCCACCTTTTGCAGCAATTACAGCTGCAAGTCTCTTGGGGGTATGTCTCTATAAGCTTGGCACATCTAGCCACTGGGATTTTTGCCCATTCTTCAAGGAAAACTGCTCCAGCTCCTTCAAGTTGGATATGTTCCACTGGTGTACAACAACAGTCATACCACAGATTCTCAATTGGATTGAGGTCTGGGCTTTGACTAGGCCATTCCAAGACATTTAAATGTTTCCCCTTAAACCACTCAAATGTTGCTTTAGCAGTATGCTTAGGGTCATTGTCCTGCTGGAAGGTGAAACCCCGTCCCAGTCTCAAATCTCTGGAAGACTGAAACAGGTTTCCCTCAAGAATTTCCCTGTATTTAGCACCATCCATCATTCCTTCAATTCTGAACAGTTTCCCAGTCCCTGCCAATGAAAAACATTCCCACAGCATGAGGCTGCCACCACCATGCTTCACTGTGGGGATGGTGTTCACGGGGTGATGAGAGGTGTTGGGTTTGCGCCAGACATAGTGTTTTCCTTGATGGCCAAAAAGCTCAATTTTAGTCTCATCTGACCAGAGTACCTTCTTCCATATGTTTGGGGAGTCTCCCACATGCCTTTTGGCGAACAACAAACAAGTTTGCTTATTTTTTGTCTTTAAGCAATGGCTTTTTTCTGGCCACTCTTCGGTAAAGCCCAGCTCTGTGGAGTGTACGGCTTAAAGTGGTCCTATGGACAGATACTCAAATTGCCTCTCTGATTAATGCCCTCCTTGCCTGGTCCGTGAGTTTTGGTGTGCTGCCCTCTCTTGGCAGGTTTGTTGTGGTACCATATTCTTTCCATTTTTTAATAATGGATTTAATGGTGCTCTGTGGGATGTTCAAAGTTTCAGATATTTTTTAAAAACCCAACCCTAATCTGTACTTCTCCACAACTTTGTCCCTGACCTGTTTGGAGAGCTCCTTGGTCTTCATGGTGCCGCTTGCTTGGTGGTGCCCCTTGCTTAGTGGTGATGCAGACTCTGGGGCCTTTCAGAACAGGTGTATATATACTGAGATCATGTGACAGATCATGTGACACTTAAATAAAGTGTGCAATCTAACTAATTATGTGACTTCTGAAGGTAATTAGTTGCACCAGATCTTATTCAGGGGCTTCATAGCAAAGGAGGTGAATACATATGCACGCATCACTTTTCTGTTATTTTTTTTTGTTAACTTTTTTTTTTAAACAAGTTACTTCTTTCGTGTGAAGACTGAAGAGCCTGTCTAATGTCTGTTGTTGGGAGCCTGCACTGCTGCTGCCAGCAACGGCTTGGGTGTCAAGGTGCCTCCCTTTCAGATGGTTAAGCACTGCACCTGTACTGCCACTGTAGCTCAATTTCACCTCGGAAAGTTTGCGTTTCATCACCTTCTCATTTAACTTCTCAAAGTATTGCCATTACAGGACTTCGCTGCTGTCACTTCCCTGTCTCACTCTCTGCCATTTTTCCAACTGTTAACGACGAATGAAGTGCAGAGCGCTTTATATCCGTGGCAAATCATTTGAAAGATGCATTTCTCCTCCTACTAACTTTACAGCATTGTTTTGTTAGGTATTTCTTTCATCTAAAAATGTTCCCTTTATGATGATGATTGGGACCTGTTAGTGCTAAGTGTGATAACTGAACTGTGATTTACATTTTATGGGAGGAAATAAGAAAAATATATAATAATAAACATCGTTTTTCAGTTAACGATCCCAATTTCATTTAAACGTTCACACCCCTAGTACAGGATGGTTAGAAAGAATGAGAGAATGGCTGTAATAGATGGATAAAAGAAAGGAGATTGAAAGAGGCGGCTACGACAACTCATGTCAGAAAACAGTCACAATGTTGTATCAAAGGAAGCTGCGACTTACGTTGACACAGCATGTAGGACATTTTCCCCAGAAGAACTTCCACCCGTAGAACACCATCTTGCAGGTCAACTATGGTACAGCCAGAGCTGGGGAGCTGAGAGAGGATAAATGAGGAGAGAAAATAAGGGAGACGGGGGAAAGAGAAGAGAGAAAAGAGGGGGGGAGAGAGGTGAGGTTAAAGAACAACTACTGCCCGTTCTGGCTCATATTTCACTCAAACCTCATTTTAAAAATTGCCATTTAAAAATTGCAAAGTGGGGCTGTTTACCTTCCGTTTGGTGTAAACCACAATATTGACCGTGACATCAGTTTGAAACCAGTCATACCTAAAAAAAACAATATACAGATACAGTATGTTCATTACCTGCTCATATCCATCTATCATACTTCACATCATCCAGTCTGTGTCACCATTCTCAATATCATAACAGTTCCTCTTGTTGTTTTGTGAGCGTACCTGGGCCGGGCGTCTTTGGGTTGGGGTGGTGGCGGGGCGGCTGAGGAGGGTGAGGGAGGGGTGAGGAAAGCAGGAGGGAGCATGGAGGTGGGGGGAGGAGGAGGGGCTAGACCTGAGGAGAGGGAGACAAGATTAAGGACTCTGATTTCAGCCACACGTGATATAGAACACCCACACACAAATACAAGACAATACAGAACAATCACGTGTTTTGTTCACTATTCTTATTATTCGTTTGTACATTACCATTCAAATGAGTGATGCTGTCCTTTTTTACCGATTGAGCTGTGGAGACAAATTAGAAAGTCTCAAAAAACATCCTGCATGAAAGAGAAAATATGGTACATTAAAGTCCTGAGGGATTGTGTGTTACTGTACCTTTGAGAGCAGTGCTGGCCTTCACAGCCATCCTCCCTACCAGACACTCCTTTAGCATGGACTCATAGTTTACCCACCTGTGGACCTGCTCATATGGCCACAGATACAGGGACAAGGGCGGACAAGGGCAGACAGGGAGAATGTGAGCAAGAGAGCTTAGACAAGCACGGCATCATCACACACATCATGTGCTTTAATGTTTTGAACTTGTGTGTTTTAACATGTGAACTTGCACGGTTGTCCTTTAACTCGGGAAAGTCCAATGAGAGCTGACCTGGTCAAAAAGGTCTGTTCCGTCTATCCCAGCTGCCTTCATAAGTTCCTCTTCTCCTCCAGGGTGGTACTCCATGTAGGGGCTCACATTATAAACCATGCCTGAGACACAGAGGAAATAATAGTATTTATTCACAAAATGCAACAAAAGAAAGAACAAAAACATATAAGCAATTCACAATAGAAAATGTTTTAAAGATCTGTATATTAGGGCTAACTCGTGTAGGAAATGACCAGCATTGGAGGGATGGTGGCTCCCAAAAGTCATCACCCAATAGCCTAACTGAAGTATAAGATGTACTGAAAGAGGTGTGACAAATTACTGAGTATACCAAACATTAGGAACACCTTCCTAATATTGAGTTGTAACATTTTACCCCCAGAACAGCCTCAATTTGTCAGGGCATGAACTCTACAACATGTCGAAAACGTTCCACAGGGATGCTGGGCCCATGTTGACTACAATGCTTCCCACAGTTGTGTCAAGTTGGATGGATATCCTTTGGGTGGTGGACAATTCTTGATACACACAGAAACTGTTGAGCGTGAAAAATCCAGGAGCGTTGCAGTTCTTGGCACAAACCGGTGCGCCTGGCACCTACTACCATACCCCGTTCAAAGGCACTTAAATATTTTGTCTTTCCCATTCACGCTCTGAATGGCACACATACACAATCCATGTCTCAACTTTCTCAAGGCTTAAAAATCCTTCTTTAACCGGTCTCCTCCCCTTCATCTACACTGATTGAAGTGGATTTAACAAGTGACATCAATAAGGGATCATAGACTGACCAGGTGAAAGCTATATCATGGAAAGAGCAGGTGTTCTTAATGTTTTGTATACTCAGTGTACAGTCAGTCTACAGGTATGTGGGCCCATTCACACCGACAAACATAACAGTGAATTCAGCCAATACATTCAAATAAATGGTTATGAATGATTAAACTATGATTGAACTATGCTTGAACAATGATTGAATTATATACATTGTAATGTATGGTATTGAGGGGGAGTTGACCCAGCCTCCAATGCTTTCTATAGAAAGCCTTCTCACAACATAAAGACACATACACTATTCAAAAATATTATCCCAACAAACACAACATTATCCTCCAAACACAAGCACATGGCCACGCTGTAGCCCAGTGAGTCACTGACCCTGAAAACAGACACAGTCCCAATGGAAACTGTGTATGAGAGGAGAAGGTATGTCTACCACAGGGAACCTTCATTTGTGTATACAATCGCCAATAACTGTCTTAAAGCCTACTGATATTAAATTGGTTAGGTAATGCCTTCATAACACATCCCTATGGGAGTGCTGATGAGTGCGATCAACAAATATAAAAACGAATAATAATGATACATGACGATAATGGCATCAGCGTACGGTTGTGTAACTCCATATTTCTTCTCTACAACCTAATGCTGCTGTTGGGTGTTGTTATGTTGTTGTTTTAAGGACTGATTGTCAAATAAGTCATAAAAGGTTCCTGCTGTGTGCCATGCATCTGTGATGAGTTTGTGTGAGAGAGAGGTATAGGGAGGGAAGAAAGAAAGAGAGGTACACAGAGGGAGGGAAGGAGCGAGGGAGGGAGGGCGCCCCTGTTCCGCTGTGAATCAGAAGAAGTGCACAGAGACCTAGTCACAGCAAATTCAATTAAGCTTTATTGCTCAATGTCCTTAGACAAACGAACCCACTCCATGACTACCAATGAGTGCATTTCATCTCAATGACGCACATGGGGAAATGATAGGATGAAATGTGCTAGATTCCTCACGAAAGTGATTCCTCACGAAACCCAGACAATAAAATAACATTTTGTAATCCATATACAGTGGGGGAAAAAAGTATTTATTCAGCCACCCATTGTGCAAGTTCTCCCACTTAAAAAGATGAGAGAGGCCTGTAATTTTCATCATAGGTACACGTCAACTATGACAGACAAAATGAGAAAAGAAATTCCAGAAAATCACATTGTAGGATTTTTTATGAATTTATTTGCAAATTATGGTGGAAAATAAGTATTTGGTCAATAACAAAAGTTTCTCAATACTTTGTTATATACCCTTTGTTGGCAATGACACAGGTCAAACGTTTTCTGTAAGTCTTCACAAGGTTTTCACACACTGTTGCTGGTATTTTGGCCCATGCCTCCATGCAGATCTCCTCTAGAGCAGTGATGTTTTGGGGCTGTCGCTGGGCAACACAGACTTTCAACTCCCTCCAAAGATTTTCTATGGGGTTGAGATCTGGAGACTGGCTAGGCCACTCCAGGACCTTGAAATGCTTCTTACGAAGCCACTCCTTCGTTGCCCGGGCGGTGTGTTTGGGATCATTGTCATGCTGAAAGACCCAGCCACGTTTCATCTTCAATGCCCTTGCTGATGGAAGGAGGTTTTCACTCAAAATCTCACGATACATGGCCCCATTCATTCTTTCCTTTACACGGATCAGTCGTTCTGGTCCCTTTGCAGAAAAACAGACCCAAAGCATGATGTTTCCACCCCCATGCTTCACAGTAGGTATGGTGTTCTTTGGATGCAACTCAGCATTCTTTGTCCTCCAAACACGACGAGTTGAGTTTTTACCAAAAAGTTATATTTTGGTTTCATCTGACCATATGACATTCTCCCAATCCTCTTCTGGATCATCCAAATGCACTCTAGCAAACTTCAGACGGGCCTGGACATGTACTGGCTTAAGCAGGGGGACACGTCTCGCACTGCAGGATTTGAGTGCCTGGCGGCGTAGTGTGTTACTGATGGTAGGCTTTGTTACTTTGGTCCCAGCTCTCTGCAGGTCATTCACTAGGTCCCCCCGTGTGGTTCTGGGATTTTTGCTCACCGTTCTTGTGATCAATTTGACCCCACGGGGTGAGATCTTGTGTGGAGCCCCAGATCGAGGGAGATTATCAGTGGTCTTGTATGTCTTCCATTTCCTAATAATTGCACCCACAGTTAATTTCTTCAAACCAAGCTGCTTACCTATTGCAGATTCAGTCTTCCCAGCCTGGTGCAGGTCTACAATTTTGTTTCTGGTGTCCTTTGACAGCTCTTTGGTCTTGGCCATAGTGGAGTTTGGAGTGTGACTGTTTGAGGTTGTGGACAGGTGTCTTTTATACTGATAACAAGTTCAAACAGGTGCCATTAATACAGGTAACGAGTGGAGGACAGAGGAGCCTCTTAAAGAAGGAGTTACAGGTCTGTGAGAGCCAGAAATCTTGCTTGTTTGTAGGTGACCAAATACTTATTTTCCACCATAATTTGCAAATAAATTCATTAAAAATCCTACAATGTGATTTTCTGGATTTTATTTTCTCAATTTGTCTGTCATAGTTGATGTGTACATATGATGAAAATTACAGGCCTCTCTCATCTTTTTAAATGGGAGAACTTGCACAATGGGTGGCTGACTAAATACTTTTTTCCCCCACTGTAATAGTCCTTTGGAGGAAGTATTCTTGACATTTGTATTTAAAAGCATAATTGAGAATTGATTTATCAAAGTTGGCATATTATTACATTTTGGCCTAACTTAGGCCTCCTTTAAGACTCCATAGTGTTTCATCTGTAGGTGCTACAAAGCAAACATTGGTGTCATATGAAGCTATACTGCTTTCTCTGTAAAATGAGTAGTATTTTTATTTCAATAACTTTTTCTTTACATTAATTTATGAATATTGAAAAATATATAAAAATGATATCGAAATTGGCAAATGTTTTAATATATGGTTGAAGATAATATACTCTACAGGCTTAGCAAAGTTCCAGAGTGGGATCTCTGCTACTTTAAGAGTTATGATCCAATTCGTATGCATTAACAACAGAGTGAATGTGAAAATGGATTCAAAATGGTCACCCTCTGCTGGTGATTTGCAGGATGTGTAACAATATAAGTAGAAGGAGAGCTGTGATTGGTTACATTGCTGAACTATGCAAATATATGTGTTAAAAAAAGGGCAATAACTTTAAAACTAGCAGAGATCCCAGTCTGGAATTTGATTTGTCGGTAGAGTATATCATGTTCAATAATATATTGCATTTTTAAACATATTTTCTATATTCATGTGGTATGTTTCAATATTCATAAATTAATGTAAGAAATGTTTTTGTGAAATCAAAATACTACTCATATTACAGAGCAAGTGGTAAAGCTTCATATGAAACATTTTTACCTTTGTATTATAGCATCTACAGGTTAAACATTATTGGGTCTTAAAGGAAGCCTGGGTAAGGAAAAATGTAACAAATTTGCCACTATTTCTCAATTATGCTTTTAGATACAAATGTAAAACACAATCCTTCCTTGAAAGGACTATTCTATGGATTACATTTTGTGAAAATCCCAAAATCATGGAATTTCGTTTGTCTGGGTTTCGTGAGGAATCACTCAATTAGGCCTACAGAAGGTGGAAAGAGGAGAGAATTGTGTACAGATAGTATGCAGCTACTGTGTATGTGTGTGTGTGTGTGTGTAGTATTCACATTTACTTTCCTGAACAATTTAAGTAATAGCCCAGTTTCGCCAACTCTAGCCCTGGAGAGGCATTGAGCCCTTGATTAGTTGAATCTGGTGTGTTAGTACTGAGCTTAAACAAAAACCTGCGAAACGCCAGGACCAGTATTGTGTGTGTGTGTGTGTGTGTGTGTAAACAGTACAAGGCTAGCTTGTGTCACCTCGTATGCAGGTCCAGCAGTCGTCCCGTGTGTTGTGTTTCTGCAGCTCCTCCTCTGTGACGTCTATGAGTCTGCCTCTCAGCCCTGTCAGATCCCGGCCACTCTTAGCCACACGGATCCAGTCCATCAGACTGTGGCCAGGCTTCAATGCTACCTGAAACAAATGGAAGAGCAGCCCTCACAGTCAGCACATGTGGCATTATGATAACACAGCCTTACACTTACAGTACAGTAAAGAGTAAAGTGTTGGCAAGAGACAGGTCATTTTCTGCTTTCAAAGGGTGTGGCATGATGACAATCAATTTAGGGTTGACTAGGCTGACAGGGTCTTCTAACTCAATATAAAATTGGGCCACAGAACATTCATATAGTACGACCACAATAGTCTAACTCCCTGATGGGTCATCAACATCAACATTATGTAACAATGATATATAGGCATGACTCTCACACACAACAATCATGTCGTCAACTACCGGTACAGTACCTTGTTCCTGCCGGACTGACCGGCTGGAGCAACACGCTGCTGAGAGCTGGCTGCAGGGAACGACTGGGATGGGACGTTCAGCATCGCGACTCTTCGAAAGCAGGCCAAATTCCGGAGGAATCCTGTATAAGACGGGCCTTCGATTAACACGACAATAAAGGACCAACTCTTGTTTGTGAACCACTGTGAAATTATGTTTCCGTTGTGTCACAAGAAACACATTTCCCTGAAGTGACACTGGTTGAGTAATTTAGCTAACTAGCTAGCTACCTGACTGGCTAGCACCACGGAAGAGCAGATTCACAACAAAACGCCCAAATATGTCCATAATATCAGACGTATGAAATAACCGGTGAGCTAGATATCGACTGAACCAAATGACACTTCCAATGCATTGTTCGTAAGACAATATTTGACTATGTAAATAACACCTATTTGGAGTTGTGACTGTTAAAAACTACATTCCCACGATAGCTGCAGATGGTGTCGCAATATGATGACGATTTTGTCAAACCACTTAAAGTAAAACTATATCCAAAATACTTAGAGCGCCATCTAGTGTAAATATAAATCTCAACAGCCGCCCTGATACAGTACAAAGCGCCCCCAAATTCAGAAAACTCATATTTATGTTTTTATAGGGTATATTTTTTGGCAATAGACAATTGAGTATTTGGAAATGCTAAATGAAAACATTGTAAAGTGGTTATCCCACTGGCTATAAGGTGAATGCACCAATTTGTAAGTCGCTCTGGATAAGAGCGTCTGCTAAATGACGTAAATGTAAATGTAAATGTAATAACTTAGAAAACGTAGCCTACCTGGTATGAAACCAGAGAAAAAAATGGTCACAATAGAAACATATTTCCCTCTTCCTCCATCTCCCTCCTCCTCGTCCTCCTCTGAATCTTCGTTGAAATGATTTGACATCCCAATATGATAATTGCCATAGGCCTACAGTTATTTTGTCACAATTCAGAAATGTGATTATCCCATGTATCACATGAGCCTTGTACGTACAAAGGCCTATTGCAGAACACAAGGTAAAAAGACGATTTGTATTTATGGCCAACCAACGTCAATGCAGGGATAACTCCACGTCAATACGTAATCTGATTAGTCAAATCTCACTAAGAGGATTCCTAGGTGGGAATAGTTTCTTCTTGACACGTGACTTAAAAATAAAAGTGCAGTGGATTATAGGTTAGGTGTGTGTCAGAAAATCAACTACATGGATAATAATCAATCTCAGATAAAAAAATTGATTGTGGTAACCATGAGCGAGAGAGTTAATCTGGGAAAGAGGCCTGTGTTTTGATTCTCTTCCACAAGGTGTGAGCTGCTCCCATCACATAACAGCCTGATACAATCATTCACAGTGCGTTGTACTCAAAGCACATGTACTCTATTTCACCGTATTTAAAACTCATTATTTAATAATGTATATGATTTTTTGAGAACTGCTGAAACAGCTCCCTTTTCTGTTTTTCAAACACACACACACACACACACACACACACACACACACACACATTAGATGCGTGAGGGAGCTGCTGAATGGCCAGTTGGGCAGTAATGGAGGGAAGCTAGTGCTGAGGAGAGCAACACCTGTACACAGCAGGGGTTCAGGAAGGATGGACATGGGATGGTTAACAGGCAGACTTGGCCAGGCCAACCGAAACCAGTTTCTCTCACATACACACACACACACACACACACACACACACACACACACACACACACACACACACACACACACACACACACACACACACACACACACACACACACACACACACACACACACACACACACAGTACCAGTCAAAAGCTTGGACACACCTACTCATTCAAGGGTTTTTCTTTATTTTTAGTATTTTCTACATTGTAGAATAATAGTGAAGGCATCAAAACTATGAAATAACACATATGGAATCATGTAGTAACCATAAAAGTGTTAAACAAATCAAAATATATTTTATATTTGAGATTCTTCAAAGTAATTACCCTTTGCCTTGATGACAGCTTTGCACACTCTTGGCATTCTCTCAACCAGCTTCATGAGGAATGCTTTTCCAACAGTCTTTAAGTTCCCACATATGCTGAGCACTTGTTGGCTGCTTTTCCTTCACTCTGCGGTCCAACTCATCCCAAACCATCTCAATTTGGTTGAGGTCGGATGATTGTGGAGGCCAGGTCATCTGATGCAGCACTCCATCACTCTCCTTCTTGGTCAAATAGCCCTTACACAGCCTGGAGGTGTGTTTTGGGTCCTGTTGAAAAACAAATGATAGTTCCACTAAGCGCAAACCAGATGGGATGGCGTATCGCTGCAGAATGCTGTGGTAGCCATGCTGGTTAAGTGTGCCTTGAATTCTAAATAAATCACAGACAGTGTCACCAGCAAAGCACCCCCACACCATCACACCTCCTCCTCCGTGCTTCACGGTGGGAACTACACATGCAGAGATCATCCATTCATCTACTCTGTGTCTCACAAAGACACAGCGGTTGGAACCAAAAATCTAAAATTTGGACTCATCAGACCAAAGGACACATTTCCACCGGTCTAATGTCCATTGCTCGTGTTTCTTGGCCCAAGCAAGTCCCTTCTTATTATTGGTGTCCTTTAGTAGTGGTTTCTTTGCAGCAATTCGACCATGAAGGCCTGATTCACGCAGTCTCCTCTGAACAGTTGATGTTGAGATGTGTCTGTTACTTGAACTCTGTGAAGCATTTATTTGGGCTGCAATCTGAGGTGCGGTTAACTCGAATGAACTTATCCTCTGCAGCAGAGGTAACTCTGAGTCTTACTTTCCTGTGGCGGTCCTCATGAGAGCCAGTTTCATCATAGCGCTTGATGTTTTTTGCGACTGCACTTGAAGAAAAATTTTCCGGATTGACTGACCTTCATGTCTTAAAGTAATGATGGACTGTCGTTTCTCTTTGCTTATTTGAGCTGTTCTTGCCATAATATGGACTTGGTCTTTTACCAAATAGGGCTATCTTCTGTATACCACCCCTACCTTGTCACAACATAACTGATTGGCTCAAACGCATTAAGAAGGAAATAAATTCCACAAATTAACTTTTAACAAGGCACACCTGTTTATTGAAATACATCCCAGGTGACTACCTCATGAAGCTGGTTGAGAGAATGCCAATAGTGTGCAAAGCTGTCATCAAGGCAAAGGGTGTCTATTTGAAGAATCTCAAATATAAAATACATTTGGATTTGTTGAACACTTTTTTGGTTACTACATGATTCCATATGTGTTATTTCATAGTTTTGATGTCTTCACTATTAGTCTACAATGTAGAAAATAGTAAAAATAAAGAAAAACCCTGGAATGAGTAGGTGTATAAACCTTTGACTGGTGTCCAAACTTTTGACTGGTACTGTACACGTACACATACACATGCAAGCTTGCTGTGTCTTTTGTCAAGTTTTATATAGTTAATACACTTTAGTATATAGTTAATAGACTGTTAATTTTGGGTAAGATGTGTAGCAAATAGTTAATGCTGTGCTTACTTTTTGATTAGTGGAATGGTAGTTGGCTAATATTTTATTAAAAGTATGGCCATAAGAATCCATAAGGTGGCAGTGCAACCATGATCCTGAGTGCTTGGTACACTGTTCTGTAAGGAGTTCTGTAGGTGGCAGTAGACACTCACAATGACAGGACACCATGGTTGCTATGAAATCCCTTTCCTTTTTGTCATGAACATCTTGTTCTGAACATGAACGTCCTGACAATATTCAGTAATGCTTAGCTAAAGTAAATGACTTGATTTGGTGTAGGTCTAAAGGAGCAGTTGAGTTCTGTTTTTAGGTATTTTCCCAGGTAAAAGCCTATAGCATAAGACATTGTTGCTTAAAGAGAATGTGGTTTAAGAGGGTTTCATCAGATACTGTAATCTCCGATTACATTACCATGTTTGCATCATGAATACACTTTTTACCCAACCAGTGCAATATCTTTACCCATGATCCTCTCCTAAATTACATGATGCTCTTGGACCGCAAATACTCTTGATTGGACAACAAACCTCCCCACTAGAGACGACAGACCGAGAGACACCTGAGAGTTTAAGCGCAATGTAGCAGGGATTGTAATAGGTATTTATTTGTTGGCTTCAAATGTGTCACATTTATTTCTCTCTCTCTCTCTCTCTCTCTCTCTCTCTCTCTCTCTCTCTCTCTCTCTCTCTCTACCACCCAGACCAGACCCAACCGTAGCAGCACAGGGCAGATAATTACAATTTCAAAACCATTAGCCAGATCATTACCAGCTAATCCCCTGTTTGGTCTGATGAGTCACGCGTCCCCTTTTCCGCCGTGCCGGCCGGACAGACAGCTTAGGGTCTCTCTCTCCCCAACACGGCCCTCCGCGTGTCTGTCTGTCTTTCGGGCCCTTTGCTAAGAGGCCAAAGGGCCAGGGGTCCACAGAGACACAGACAGGGAACCTTGAATTAACATTCAAAGTGTGAAAATACAAAATTATGTTTCTCTCTTCATTGGCTCATTCTCCTCTATTGAACAGACTAATGTATGTTATTGAGCAGCAAAGACATGCCATGCCATATGGTAGAATATATAGTAGCAGGCTGTTAGCAGAAGGCCTAGAGATGCAGCCATCAGATCATGTGGTGCCATTATCAGCAACGGGATCCAGCTAGCTAGTGCCGAGACTAGGGTTTCCATGGCAACGCAGCCAAGTGACTGAGGTGGATTTCCAAGATTGTCGGCTTCTTTGCGCCAGTGTCCAAATATGGATAAAAATACTGTCACTCATTGCTTCATTGTTTTCGTCTGGTGAAAAACAGATAACTTTTTTCCCTTTTGTGTTTTGACTGTGCGATGTCATTCTCAATCTAATGCTATCATTAATATTTGCAAACTATCGTAAGCATTGACAGTGATGTGTGAAGTGTGCATTTCAGTGTTAGGAAAGATGTGGCTGTGTGAGAAGACAGCACTGTTTCTTTAGATGGGAAACAGAGGATTGCAGTCATATAATTACATATAGAATCCTGGGATTTCTATCATTGCAGTTCACTGATGTTTATGAGCAATGTCTGCTCTCTGACGGTGGTGTTTTTGTGGCAGAGTGGAAGGGTGATAGCAGAATCCTCATTTGATTTACCTGTTCTTGTGGCGGGTGATTTGGACGGGGTCAGCTGCAGGAGGGTAAGTCACAGAATAAATGATTTATTCGGTAAGACAGCGGTACGCAGCAATGTGTAAAATACTCCAGTGCGGTAATACAGCGCACTGGAGAAAACAAGGCACACGGGTGAATATCCCGGCGATACAAAATACAATATAGCTCCACCGAGCTATAGTAACCTCCACAATAAACAATCACACACAAAGACAAGGGAGGCAGAGGGAACACTTATACCGATACTGATGAGGGGATATGAACCAGGTGTGTGTAATAAACAAGACAAAACAAATGGAATGATGAGATGAGGAGCGGCAGTGGCTAGAACGCTGAAGCCTGCCCGAACAAGGAGAGGAGGTAGCTTCGGAGGAAGTTGTGACAGTACTACCTGTAAAACCAGGTTAATCTACCTAAACTGTATTTATATAGACAACTGGGTAGCACTTTTTTTTATAGTAAAGAAATTCACAAGTATTAACTAAGAAATACTTGTTAAAATGGTAATGACATTTCCCAACTGGAACAATCAGAAACAAATATCATATATGACCTAGAGGATATGCATAGCGAGAAATACTGAAAATTTTAGATTTCTCTTTTGATAGATCTCTCCGAGCCAGAAGCCTGTCCGGATGTTTCATTGGCTCTCCTGTTCCCTCTGACCTGCTCAGTGACTGACTTGCTCTCTGATGGACCTCTGGCTGACTAGAACCTTTGAAGTGAATGTGTTCAGTCTGATTGGCCGATTGGCCGTGTCCAACATGGATTCATGGTTACACCAGGTCAGCTCTCCATAAATCATCTCACAGAGTCGCAACCTCTGACCTTCCACTGCACAGCCAGTGGCTTTGACCACAACCCACTTAATCAGTTGCCATTCATTCATACATACATTTCTATTCATCCGATATGTGTGTTTTATGTGTGGA